CGAGGTGGGAGGATCGCTTGAGCCCAGGAGTCTACCTTTGCAGTGACCTATGATGACGCCACAGCACTCTGGCCCAGGCAACAGAGCAAGACCTTAACCCTTTCAAAGTGCTGCAGTCTACTCTTCCACCAGTTTATGAGGTTTTTTCCATTGTTCCACAATTTTACCAATGCTTATTTTTATCAGGCTTGTAAATTTTGACAGCCTGGTGGATAGGAAGTGGTATTTCACTGTGGTTTCAATTTCTATTTTCGTTATTAAAAACAGGCATACTTGTTGCTATTTCGGAGTCCTCTTACGATTTTATGTCTACTGGGGATTTTGTCCTTTTGTTGATTCATCATAGTTCTTTATATATTCAGGATACTTGTCCTGTATCAGTTATGTGTGTTGCATATATTCTCTCAGTTGACTTTTAATCATTTTTTAACTTTGTATTTCGAAATGTTTGTAACATATACTGTAGTGGATTTAATCTGCTCTGTCCACTCATTGCCAAGCTTCAGTTACCCTTACGTGGCCAATCTTGTTTGGACTAGGCCCCCCCCAGCAAACACACCCTGGATCATTTGGAGACAAAGTCCTATCATATCATTTCATCTGTAAATATTTCAGTATATATTTCAAAGTGATAAGCATTCTGTTTAAAAAATGAAAGCATTATGCTATTAACCCACCTAAAATATTCACATCATTAAATAGTCAGTGCTGACATTTCCCCAGATGTCTTTTTTAAAATTTACATTTTGCTTGAATCAAGATGCAATACACAGTTTCATTTTCTTATCATCTGAGTGTTTACTGGAGTAGCACATTCAGTTTCCTTCAAGAACTCTGTATTGACAACTTGGCTAACTGATGCAAGAGGCCTAACTTTTGGCCTATCTCGGCTTTCAACAGGTCTTCCTTGCTCAGATCAGTCATTTCTAGCTTTTGATGTAAAGTGAGAGACGCACTTGACTCTTCCTTTCACTTGAACACTCAGAGGCCACTGCAGGGCGATTAACTGGCCTAACTTAAATACTGTGTCTCAGGGAACAGTGCTGCCTGAGGAGAGGCAGAGAGATCGGGAACAGCCGGTCAGCGGCGCAGTCAGGACACACGCAACATGTATCGGTTGAGTTTGCTGTCTTGCATGGGCACAGTTTGTGGCTCCCCAAAACAGCTGCTAATACAGTAGTAACATCAAAGATCACAGATCACCATAACAGATACAATAACAATGAAAAAATCTGAAATACTGTGAGAATTACCAAAATGTGACACACACAAGGTGAGCTCGTGCTGTTGGAAAATGGCACCAAATGACTTGCTTAATGCAGGGTTGCCACAATCTTCAATTTGTAAAAACCGCAGTATCTGCAAGGCACAACGAAGTGAAGCGCAGTGAAACAAGGCATGCCTGTGTCCACAAGCAAGAAAATAAAGGTGGGCCTCCACCTCACATCATAATACAATAATTAATTCAAAATGAATAAAAAATATAAATGTAAGAGTCAGAACTATAGAACCCCTAGGGG